AAATTATTTTCTGTCTGGAATTTTGAAGACTGATTCATATGGTGGAGGACTGAATACAGATTTTTATTTTATAAATTCCAGCACTTAGCATGTTCTTGATTCTATTATTATGAGTGACATCTATTTGACTAGGAAACCAAAGACTACAATTCTTTATAAGGATTCTTTTTTTTTTTTTGAGACAAAGAGTCTCACTCCGTCACCCAGACTGCAATGCAGTGGCGTGATCTCACTTACTGTAACCTCCGCCTACTAGGTTCAAATGATTCTTATGCTTCAGCCTCCCAAGTAGCTGTAATTACAGGTGCGTGCCACCATGCCTGGCTAATTTTTGTATTTTTAGTAGAGACAGGGTTTTGCCACATTGGCCAAGCTGGACTCTTAACTCCTGACCTCAAGTGATCCACCTGCCTTGGCCTCCCAAACTGCTGGAATGACAGGTGTAAGCCACCATGCCCGGCCAGGATTCTTTTAGAAGAGGTTGTAGTGAGCAGCATCTACCAGCTTGCATCCCTGTATGTTTCATATCTTAAGTATTTGCTTGGGGAATAAACCAAAGTGAAAACGTCCTTTCTCAAATTAAGGACGTGGAAAAATTTACTTTTTTTTTTTTTTTTTTTTTTTTTTTTGAGACAAAGTATCACTCTGTCACCCAGACTGGTGTGCAGTGGTACAATCTTAGGATCTCAGCTCACTGCAGCCTCTACCTCCCGGGTTCAAGCAATTCTCCTACCTCCGCCTCCCGAGTAACTGGGATGACAGGCCGACGCCACCATGCCCAGCTAATTTTTGTATTTTTAGTGGAGACGGGGTTTCACCAAGTTGGTCAGGCTGGTCTGGAACTCCTGACCTCATGATCCACCCACCTCAGCCTTCCAAAGTGCTGGGATTGCAGGCGTGAGCCACCTTGCCCAGCCTGGAAGTCTTTACTATACTTAAGATGGCCGTAATCCCCAAGTTAATCTATGGATTCAACTCAGTCTCTGTTTAAATCCCTGATTGCTTTTTTGTAGAAGTCAGCAAGCTGATCCTAAAATTCATATGGGAATAAAAAGGGACCTAGGCCGGGCGCGGTGGCTCACGCCTGTAATCCCAGCACTTTGGGAGGCCGAGGCAGGTGGATCACGAGGTCAAGAGATCGAGACCATCCTGGTCAACATGGTGAAACCCCGTCTCTACCAAAAATACAAAAAATTAGCTGGGCATGGTGGCGCGTGCCTGTAATCCCAGCTACTCAGGAGGCTGAGGCAGGAGAATTGCCTGAACCCAGGAGGCGGAGGTTGCGGTGAGCCGAGATCGCGCCATTGCACTCCAGCCCGGGTAACAAGAGCGAAACTCCGTCTCAAAAAAAAAAAAAAAAAAAAAAGGGACCTAGAATAGCCAAAATTACTGAAAAAATAACATTGGCAAGGTTATGTTGCTCGATTTCAAAACTTAATACAAAGCTAGAGTAATCAAGACCATGGTACTGGCGTAAGGATGACCGTTCAGACCCATGGAACAGATTTGAGAATCCAGAAATGATTGCATACTTTCTTTTCTTTTCTTTTCTTTTTTTTTTGAGACGGAGTTTCGCTCTTGCTACCCAGGCTGGAATGCAATGGCGTGATCTCGGCTCACTGCAACTGCCGCCTCCTGGGTTCAGGCAATTCTCCTGCCTCAGCCTCCTGAGTAGCTGGGATTACAGGCACGCACCACCATGCCCAGCTAATTTTTTGTATTTTTAGTAGAGACGGGGTTTCACCATGTTGACCAGGATGGTCTCGATCTCTCGACCTCATGATCCACCCGCCTTGGCCTCCCAAAATGCTGGGATTACAGGCTTGAGCCACCGCGCCCGGCCTGATTGCATACTTTCATGCCCAATTGATTTTTGGCAGTGGTGCTAAGAGTTTATTGACAAAAGAATAGGGTTTTCCACAGATGATGCTGGGACAACTGAATATCCACATGGAAAAGAATGAGGTTGGAGCCTTATGTCATATACAAAAATTAACTCAAAATAGATCAAAAACCTAAATATAAGATCTAAAACTATAAAACTTTTAGGGAAAAAAATAGATATGTCTTGGATTTGAGAATGGTTTCTTCAGTATGACACCAAAAGCACAAGCAACCAAAGGAAAAAAAGATAAATCGAACTTCATCAAAATTTAATATTTTTGTGTTTCAAAAGATACTATAAAAAAAACAAAGACAACCAACGAAATGGGAGGGAATATTTAAGAAACACCTATCTAATAATAGTCTAGTATTCAGTCAAGGTTTAGTTCTTATTTCTCCATCCTTAAATGTACACGATACTGTATTAGCGAAGTTGAATTCCATTATTACCACATTTATCTTTAAAGAAGTTTGTTTGGATCATGGGGTCCAGTTACTTTCTCTGCCTTCTTCCTCCAAAGGATTTCTCAATCTCAGTAGTGTTATATACTAATTTCAAGGGGAATTACAACTCAAAACAATTCAGAAATCTGAAGCTTAAAAATGTATGAAAGGAGAAAATTACATTTTATTCATTTCATATTTAGGTGTAAAGCACTTGATGTTATATTGCTTAACGTTGTAACTCTTCAGTGTTCTCATCACATGAAGTAAATAGAAAATTCTTTGTGGGTCATATGTCTGTTTCAGCCAATCAGAAACCAGGATTATTTTGTATGTAATAATAGGGTTTGTTGGAAGAGGAGCTATATACATGGTAGGACTTAGAGGATAGAGGGCCCTGCATATTAGGGCTTCTTAGTTGTAGCGAAGAGGCAATTGGTCTGGTATGTTTCGCTTTTTCACATTTACTTTTGAGATCTGACTCTGGAAATGTATAACCCTATCTTTTAAGTTATAGCTTAAGATGTTAATTTGCTTTTAATACTTCTTAAGGTCGCAGCATTGATCACTGCTTTTACTTTTGATGAAATAACTTAATGAGCTGTGAAGAAAAAGTTACCAGATTTTAAGCTAGAGAGAGAATTTTACGAAATGTCTTTGAGGTTTCTGTCACCTTTATGAGAATGTCTTCAAAGTTTCCATCACCACCTCTACCAGTTTTTCTTCCATCGGAGCCAGTGGACTTAGGTTCCATAACAAGCTCCTCTTGTTCACTCAATGAGACAATATTTTCTCCCTTTTAAGGAAAATAGCAGCTGATATCAATGAAATTAAAGGAATGAAAGCTCCTATTTTGACATTGGAAGCAAATCTGTTTGGTCTAAATGTTAGAGTGTCCCAGAATGAGCAAAAATTTCATCTTTTGAGGTTAAAATGAGTGAATATTCAACAACATCTGAATACAATAGACACTTTGAAGATCTTAAAGAAGAAGTTACTGAATCACAGTCAAGACCTACTGATGTAAAAATAATTGGCTTCCTTAGAAACGTAGAGAAAGGTAAACTCTTAATATACAATGTTTTCTGGGTACCCATTCTTTGATCTGTGTCTTTCCACGTGTGTAGCTCTGATGTGGAGGGAGCAAGTTACAGAGAACTTGATTTTTTCATGGACCTTTAATGACAAATTTGGATTCTGCTTGATTTAACTTAGAAACCTAGAATTGATCAGAATTCCATCCTCTTTAATTGAACTCTCTAAAACGATGTTTTGAAAAGATAGATGAACCTAGAGCAATAAAGCAAAACTTGAAATGTGGAAGAGTTGTCTTTCATGTATCTGTGTGAAATTATTTTAAAATGCCTAATTCTTTCATCATCTGCTGTTTATATGAAGTCCTGTTGCAGTATTTGGATTGAAAGAGCCTTTCTTCCTGTAACCTTTTACCTCAGTTCTCCAAGCTTCCCACAGGAATACAACTTGACCTAAGTGACATCTTGGTTACAGTTCCTCAGAATGTGTGCTTTTTTCGGTAATAATTCTGGAAGGAATTCACATTTTTGGGATGCACCAATAAAATGTCATATAACATATGTTTTAAAAGAAATCAACTGACAAAATTTCGAATTGGGTATATCTTTTAAAATTTAAAAACACCTTTTAATGAAATCTGTTTGGTGGGAGATTGCCCACTTAAGTCTTCGCACTGAGTAAGCAAAGCTTGTCCTTGTGAAGCCACCTGCAATGGATGTACAAAAAATTAGGATGTGGGCATCTTAATAAGATTTCAGTATTTGCAGTCCTATCAGTTACATCCCTTTGTGCACTGTAGTGCAGTACCTTATAATGAGCAAGTGAGTGTCTGATGTCTGCTAAGCACTTTGGGGGGGATGCAGAAAAGTGTGACCTTCGCCCATCCTCAAGGGCCTTAACATCAAGTGGAAGAAAGAGAAAATCACTTCTTTGACTTTATTTTGTGCAGACTGCTGAGCATATTATTATTAGAAATTGTGAACCTAATATTAGGAATTAATGTTATGAACCTGTTTTAGAAGAAATAAGTAGTTGAACATCTTTTCTTGTGGGAGAGCCAAACAGTTACTATCATGCTTCCTGACATCTGGTGTGGACTCCAGAGCTGAGTGTCTTGTTTTCTTAGCATGCATTGAAGCCCATAGTTTGTCTTTTAGGAACTCTATATTTAGATGATTAGAGAGTGTCGTGTTTTGCTATTTGTTACCTTCAAAGGTCATGGGTGAGTGAGTCGTGATGGTAAGAGCCCAGGTGATGGAGGGAGGTGCTTGCCATCTTTATTTTGCAGTTGGCTGTGATGTGAGCTGCTGGGCCACAAGGTGCCTCTCCCTGAATTTTCCACCCTTTTGCCCCCTTTACTTTCCCCACAGAATTCAAATCCAGGAAAAATGATATCCCCACAGAGGGAGAACCAGGAATGTCTTACAGTGGCACTTTTAGTTTAACCCTGAGTACAGCCTTTTTTGTCTTACAGGATATCCTTTGGTCCATAAATACTATTAAATTTCATTGCCGAAGCTTTAAGTTACTTTTAAGACTTTCAGTTAAGAACCCAGAAGGATTGATTTTTTTTGGGAACCACATGCTCGTATTGTGTGTGTTGTAAGCTTAGTGAAGTTTTAAAATTTATATTCTAGGAACTCAACAGAGGCAATTATTATCCCGACTACAAATTGACCCAGTAATGGCAGAAACTCTGCAGATCAGTCAAGGTTGGTAATGTTTATAGTTGTACTGTAATCTAGCAGTTTCAGTTGCCGTTTCCATGTCTTACACCCCATTTAATGTATCATTATCTCTTAGATCCTGCCCTAAGATGTTATATTTAGATCTGTGAAAATATTTTAGGGCCAGGAGATAAGATCTGTGTTTTCTTCATGTTGTATGGTGTTTTAATTTTTTGCCTCATTGGAAAGCTTTGTTCCGTTCACACCATTCCACGTGTGTCCCTAGACTGTTGGCTCTCACTCTCCTGCTGTCAGGAGTGACTTGAGTTTCTTACTTGTCCTCCTACTCCACCCAGCTTTTGCCATTGCCCTGTGTGGCTTTTGTATCCTCTTTTTCACCTAGTTAGCCTTATCTTCTTGTACTTCACTTTGGAATCTTAACACCAGGGCCACACCTGGAACTTGTTCTAGAGCCGCTTTAGTTCACCTGTTTCCCCTCCTCTTCCCACAGACACACATGCCAAGGGCTACTTCAGGACTGGAGCTGGCACCTTCGTTTTTATTGTCTCTGTTTTCAGTGCCCAGCCCCTGGCAGATGCATGTTCAGTGTCTTAAGAATGACTGCAGGATGGCCGGGTGTGGTGGCTCACACCTGTAATCCCAGCACTTTGGGAGGCTGTGGCGGGTGGATCACAAGGTCAAGAGATCAAGACCATCCTGGTCAACATGGTGAAACCCCGTCTCTACTAAAAAAAAAAAAAAAAAAATTAGCTGGGCATGGTGGCGCGTGCCTGTAATCCCAGCTACTCAGGAGGCTGAGGCAGGAGAATTGCCTGAACCCAGGAGGCGGAGGTTGCGGTGAGCTGAGATCGCGCCATTGCTCTCCAGCCTGGGTAACAAGAGCGAAACTCCGTCTCAAAAAAAAAAAAAAAAAAGAATGACACTGCAGGATAAACACAGGCAACCATTAGAGACTGAGAATCATCTCAGTCCTGTTTCCCCTAAGTCTGTCCTTTGTGGGATGCTCTGGTTCCTTGGCCCCTCCCAGTTAGTCCCTTCCTAGATTTTCTTTCCCTTCAGTCAGGACTCCACAGTGAGTCACTTTGTTCCTGACCCTTCCCCAGCTTTCCATCTCAGAAAGTGTGCTATACCTTCTCAAGGGTCAGCCTCCACCAGAGCCCAGATCCCACTGGATTGGTGAGCACTGGCATGTCACTGCACTCCTCCGGCTTCATCCTCTGCCTCTTCTCTTCTGCCTGTGGAGGTGTTGAGACATTGCTCTCTCATCTCCCAGCAGTCTGTACTGCCTCCTACACAGGAGGCTTTGAAAAGGTTGGCAGCCAAGGTCTGTGTGTGGGACCCACTTCACCAGCTCTTGTGCATGTTCTTTTCTGTTTTGTTGTGCTTTTCATTGTATCCATAGCGCACGCAGTTTGAAACATCGAGTAGTGCTGTGATGCTTATGAATGACTGCAGTCTTTAGCTCCTATCACATTTTTTATTCTAAGAGCCCTTTGTTTCCTCATATTCTATTACTTTTTAAAAAACATACTGATTTTGTTTTATGTATGCAATACTTTTTGTTATTTCTCTGAGGATATGAAAGGTTGTTTTGACATTTTTCCCCCTCCCTGCTTGGTCTTGTTTTCTGTAAGTGTTCTGTTTTGGTTGTCTTTTATGCTGGAGGTTTCTCTCTGATGTTTGGGGATCCTAGGTGGTCTTACATTTAAGAGTGGAGCACTCAGAAGCTCACTGGTACTCTGGGTTCATGAGTTGGGGCATGGGTTGCTTTGACTTTTTATTTGAAAATAGATCCTGTGTTGGAAAGCGATTTCTCCTGCCTTTCTGGTTTGTGGGCACCCTGATGGCACTGCTTTTAAGTCTTTCCTCAGGCTGGTCAGCTTCTCCAGTAAAAGGTTTTTCAAGTAATAGCCTGGTAGTTAGAGTTCTGGGAGCTTAAGTGGGGATAGAAGGCTACGGGAGGCACCTTAGCATTAATTATTATGTAATGTTTATATAACCCTTCCCCCACCATTGTCAGTTCAGTACTTCTTTCATCATGGCTGGTGTCTCTTGATCCGGGGACTCTGTTGTTACCCTCTGAAGAGTCTAAAGCTCCACTTTCTCCAAGGGAGAATGCATGCAATGGGTAACGTTTCATCGGGAAATCGAATTGTCTTTAGAAATTTTTAACGGTGTACATCCAGTTGATTTTGTTGTAGCATCTTTCTGGCAGAGACCCTGATGACTTCATCCATAGGCCTCTTCTACGAGAATCTACAGGAAAGCACATCGCCCATCATCCCAGGTGTCTTCAGTGTAGAGGTCGGGATTGGTGTGGCAAGGGCCAAAACCAAGAAAACAGTGGCTGGGCGTGGTGGCTGATGCCTGTAATCCCAGCACTTTGGGAGGCCAAGGTGGGCAGATCACTTCAGGTCAGGAGTTCAAGACCAGCCTGGCCAACATGGCAAAATCTGATCTCTACTAAAACATACAAAAATTAGCCAGGCATGTAATCCCAGATACTCGGGAGACTGAGGCAGGAGCATCACTTGAACCCAGGAGATGGGAGGCTGCAGTGAGCTGAGCTCACACCACTACACTCCAGCCTGGGCAACAGAGCAAGACTGTCTCAAATAAAACAGTTACCTGGAATTAGAGTTGAAGAACGAACTGCTTCGCAGAGGGACACTTCCAGCACCTCTCTTTTGTCTGTCATCTCTCTCATTTCTTCCCAAGGTCCCTTTTACTGCCAGTTCCTCAGCCTTTGGAGAATCTTGTGGTCTGAATAGGATTGCTTCATTCTTGCCTTGGAATTCAGCTGTTACAGATCCCTTTAGTTCCTAATCATCTGTTTTCCACTTTCAAAATTTCTTTGTACACTTACTTTCTTAGTGAATTTTTAAAACATAAAACCCTTATTGACATTTTTGTGGGCTTTCAGGAGGGAACAAAAAGTAAATGCGTGGACTTAGCCTGTGGTCTTTTACTTACAAAATGTTACTTATTCCCTCTGGTGACCATGTGACCCAGGCTGCTGACTTTCAGCTTGCAGAGAGGTGTGTGGGAGGGCTAGGTCTGCTGTTGGTGCACAATTTCCTCAACCCTGGAGTGTGTTGCACTTGGCTTCCCATACTTTCTCCAAGCTTTGACCTTTTGGCTTCCAGGACTTCACTGTCTCTATTCTTCTCCTTCCCTTTCATTCTCATGTATCAGCTCCTCTCCTCCACTCCTCCTTAAAAGGTTAGCTTTGCTCTCTCCCACCTTCAGCATTATTTTCATCTCTTCTGTGTTCACCCAACCTGTAAACTAGGAGAACTCGTTCGTCTTAAAAAGTGCAGGGTGGCGGTAAGGAGTGAAGCTGCCCCCGGACCATTGTTTGGGCCCGTCTTTGATAGTAGTGAGACCTTGGTGAATCATTTAATAACTTGGAGCTGCGAACTGTCATCTATAACATGGGAGGAAAACTACTTTTTTTAGGCTTTGAGTGAGGATTCAATGAGAAATGGCCACCTAGGTATGTTAAACACTCTTCTGGCGCCTTCAGTTTAATCAGTGTCTTCTGTACCTCCACCTACAGGTCAAATCTGAATTTTCTACTTCCTCTTAAACCTGGAGAGTCACTTTAATAAATCTAACAGTGAAATTTATCTTTGTCCTCTTTCACTTTGCTCTTTTTCCTTTCCTAAGTTTCTCTCCCAGCTTTGTTTTCCACCTGTCTCCCTTTACCATCTGTGCTCCCGTTGCTGGGGAAGGCGGGCATGCCCCTTCCCAAGACGGAGTATGTCTTCTCTTCCTCTCAACTATATGGGACCAGGACAGATGGCGGAGAATCTTTTCATTCAGAGCCTCACCCTCTCTCCCTGCAACAACAGGTCAAGGACTCTGAGGACTCTGGTTCTTTCTTTCTTTCTTTTTTTTTTTTTTTTTGAGACGGAGTTTCGCTCTTGTTACCCAGGCTGGAGTGCAATGGCGCGATCTCGGCTCACCGCAACTTCCGCCTCCTGGGCTCAGGCAATTCTCCTGCCTCAGCCTCCTAAGTAGCTGGGATTACAGGCACGCGCCGCCACGCCCAGCTAGTTTTTTGTATTTTTAGTAGAGACGGGGTTTCACCATGTTGACCAGGATGGTCTCGATCTCTCGACCTCGTGATCCACCCGCCTCGGCCTCCCAAAGTGCTGGGATTACAGGCTTGAGCCACCGCACCTGGCCGACTCTGGTTCTTTCTTAACACTGTCTGTTTTTCTAAAAACCAATTTGATCAGGTCACTTCCCTACTTAGGAACCTCTCTTAATTTCTTTTTTCTTTGAGATGGGGTCTCCCTCTGTCACTCATGCTGGAGTGCAGTGGCACAACATGCTCATTGTAGCCTCGACCTCCTGGGACCAAGCACTTCAACCTCAGCCTCCCAGGTACCAGGTAGCTGGGACTACAGGCGTGTGCCGGCACACCCGGCTAATTTTTTTTTTTTTTTCCTGGTTGATGGGAGGTCTCACTATGTTGCCTAGGCGGGTCTCAAACTCCTGGGCTTATGGAATCCTTGTGCCGTGGCCTCCCAAAATGCTGGGGTTATAGATGTGAGCCACCACACCAGGCCTCTTGATTTCTTACTATGTAGAGACCAGAATCCAGAGTCACTGAGGCATAGAAGAACCTTTATTATATATGTCAGCCTTCCTTGCCGCTGAGCCCACCACACACACCCTTCCAGACATTCCACATTGTAGCCTTTCTCAGATACCTTAGGCCTTGTGAAAGTCCCTTTCCTTCCACGTGGGTTTTCTTCTGCTTCAAGTGCTGTGTTCGTGTCTCCGACTCTCTTCTCGTTTATTCCTGCTCGTTCCTTTACTGCCAACTTCAGATGTTCCTCCTTGGTAAGCTTTTCTTTGGTTCTTGGCGGGAGTGGACTGCTATGTATTCTCAGCACCTTGTTGGCATTCCTTTTGGATCATGCTGTTCTGAAATTGTATATGTGTCTATTTTTCTTTTTTTCTTGTGTACCTAGCTCGGTTCTTTTAGTTGTTCAGTAAATACTCAGTGAATGAATGTGAATGAATATCTTGTGAATTTTGGTCTCTAAGCTTTAAAATAAATTTTTTAACTTTAGTCTGTTGATGGCATATTGACAGGTCATCCATATCCATTCTGGGTTGTAGGTCTTGGCATATTTTATAAAATAGCCTTAAGCATATTGTAGATGATGTGAGCTTATGGGTTTTGCATTAAAGGCCAGTGTTTTTCTTGATACGCATGTGTAAGTGCCCATTCATCTTTGAGTTCCCTTTAAAAGTCCTTGGACTGCCACCAATTGGAAATTATGCCACTTGAATTCTTTTTATCAGGACATGATTCTTAGCTGTAAGTGGTACTGTGTGAGGTGAACAAACCAGATTTTTGAAAAGCGGTTCAGTAGTCTATTACAATTGTAGGGAGCCTTACGACTCAGATTATCCAGGTTTTTAGAAAAGACTGTTGTACTTTAAGGTATATTGTTAATACCTCATTAGATGCCTCACCTGAGAACCTTTCTCTGCTCTAGGTAGGGAGTGTTAATCAGAATCACTTGTACTATGCCCTGGAGGAAAGGGCTCTTTGAGTTCTTTGAAAACATGTTTGGAATAGAATTACAGCCCTATTTTCCTGAGTGGAACCAGTTGTAATTTTCCTTTGAAATAATTTGAATATATAAAAGATTGACGTTCTTCTCACATGTATGATGTTGGGAATGCAAGGTATATTCAAAAGTAAACATTTGTGGCCAATTTTTTTGGCTCAGATTACTATGACATGGAATCCATGGTCCATGCAGACACAAGATCATTTATTCTGAAGAAGCCAAAGCTGTCTGAGGAAATAGTAGTGGCACCAAACCAAGAGTCGGGGATGAAGACTGCAGATTCCCTTCGGGTACTTTCAGGACACCTTATGCAGACACGGTAGATGGTTTCTTTTTCTTGTGTAGTTAATTTGTGTGATTAGATAGTACAGGTTAACATTCATTTGCAGTTTCCCTCCTCCCCGCCCCAGCCCCTAGTGTAGAATCCTTTCAGTGATTCAGTAGTTAGCCTATATGAATAGTTAGCCAAATTCAGTTTTCAAGAATTTCAGTTCATCTTTCTTGTTCAGAAATCCATTAACCCACAAAATAGAGCTCAGTGTACGATTTAACTGTATTAAGATTCTTTTCTTTATGCAAAGCCAGGAAATGCAAGTTTAAAAGCCAACTGATTATAATCAGGAATCTGTCTAAAGGGAGTTGGCAGATCAGGTTTGGGTGATTTTTTTTTTTTCCTAAGAAAATTGATTCTATAAAAGAATAGACATACAGATCATGAATTAGCGTAAATGCTGCTGGCCCTTGTGTTCTGAACATTGATGCTAATTTTTTGGTTTATTTCCATGTTGACCCTATGAGGATCAAATGGGTAATGGGATCAGGCTTGAGGGGAGATTGTCCTTAGTGAGTGCAGGCCAGAGGGTCACTGGTGATGATGCCACTGTGACTGGCCTTGGTCATTGTGTGTTAGTAGGGAATGCCCCAGTGCTGCACCTGGAAGCCTTACCTAGTTTTTTTTTTTTAATTGAACCAAACACTAAGCAAGGGAGTGATAGTTCTACTGAAGAGCACTTGAGGGGGCTCAGCGTTTTGTGTTTGTTTCCCTAATTCTATGGTATTTTTTATCTGTCTGGCAGAGATCTTGTACAACCAGATAAACCTGCAAGTCCCAAGTTTATAGTGACGCTGGATGGTGTCCCCAGCCCCCCAGGATACATGTCAGATCAAGAGGAGGACATGTGCTTTGAAGGAATGAAACCCGTAAACCAAACTGCAGCCTCAAACAAGGGACTCAGAGGTCTCCTCCACCCACAGCAGTTGCACTTGCTGAGCAGGCAGCTTGAGGACCCAAATGGTAGCTTTTCCAACGGTGTGTTGAGAGCTCAGATTTTCAGGGTGCTGTCATTGCCAAGGGAATCTTTGACTTGTTTCTCTACCTTGAATGAATATTGGTTAAAGGCCTTGCTTTTATTTATATTCAGTAATGGCCATTTTTTCTCCTTCAGACAAAACCACCAATTACATTTCAGACTCTTTTTTCTGTGTCTGTTTCATAGGTGGGCTGTTACTCCAGTGCAAAAATGGAGTTCAGCCATGGAACCTAAGAGTCCTTTTCCTTATGCTGGCTAAAGGATGAACCATCATTCTTGATGCCTTGTTTACCTTTTTATTTTCCTCAGAAACTGTCCTGCCACGTTGCCCTTTTATTGGTAATAGTCTCTTGTAATTAACTTGAGAGAAAATTTAGACTTGCTGCTATTTCTACCTCAGTGAAATTTCCTTGAAAGGAGTTTCTCACTGACTCTGTCAGGTTACTTCTTGGAACTGTTTAAATTAATGTTGGAGAGTAATATTTAGCAGAACTCAGATGAACTTAATTCAGATAGCACCATGCTTTTAGGCAGGTGACAGTTTCTTATCACCGCTTCTTCTCTCACTGGGTATCAGTGGCAACACTGATCATTTTCATTCACGATAGAGAACGGTAATTATGTTCCTCATATCCTCTAAAATTTTCAGAAACACCTCTTCATTGGCAGGAGGGATAATTACTGAATCTTAAAAGTGTACAGATTCAGATGAAAAACAGTAATGGATTTTGAAACATTTCCTTGATTAGTCCTCTTCTTGGAAGATATTTCTATGAAAATGTATTGACTGCCTTTTTAGATCACTAAAAATAGACTTCAGAGGGAGATCATATGTTAGTGGAGCAATAACCCTTAGCTTTATTTTAACTGGATGTGTTTCCTGTGGACCAGTGATGTGGTGTCGTGGTTTTGATTAGTGGAGGGAGTTAAAAATCTGACCCTATCAACAGGAAGAAAAACTTAAAAATAGTAAAAGCTGCAGTAATTAGGCAGTACAGATTTCTTGACTCTGTATGTTTTGTCTAAAGAGAAAACTCCAGTGTTTTTACAACTCTTGATTTTTCATTTTGGTAGTTTAATTTTTTGGTCTGCTAGGATCTGATTTCGTTTTAAATATAGATGTCCATATGAGGCTTTATGGGGGGTATACATGTAGCAGCAGTGACACTGTAAATAACATGTTAGTAAACATTCTTGCCAGTGCTGTGGCCATTGTGCTGACACCTGTGATAAGTGGTAAGCCTCCTTTCCATTGCTTTGACTGGGGACTCAGTGATTTGCTGCTGCTCAAGGATGAAGCTTTCTAAGAATTAGAGACTCCCGTAGAACAGTTCTCAGCAGTCTCCAGCCTCTGTACCTCCTCCCTTGTGAGCAAGGAGTTTGAAACTGCAATTGCTTCTGGTTGGTTTTATGTTGGGTTGTTTCAAACAGCAACATCTGTTTCAACCTGCTGCCTTTTCATTCACCATCATATGGCAGCACAGATTTTATAGCCCCCCCCCCCTTTTTTTTTTTTGAGATGGAGTCTCTCTCTGTCCCCTAGGCTAGGGTGGTACGATCTCAGCTCACTACAACCTCCACCTCCCGGGTTCAAGCCATTTTCCTGCCTCAGCCTCCTAAGTAGCTGGAATTACAGGCATGCACCATCATACCTGGCTAATTTTGGTTTAAGTAGAGATGGGGTTTCACCATGTTGGTCAGGCTGGTTTCAGGCTCCTGACCTCAAGTGATCTACCCACCTTAGCCTTCCCAGAGTGCTGGGATTACAAGCGTGAGCCACTGCGCCCAACCTATAGCTTTCAATAAAAAGTGAATTTGCCTCTTAAAATATGGACAGGAAAAGTTTTAATAGCTTACAAAGTCAGTGTCAGCCAGTGAAATGACTGATAGAAACATTATGACTTAATGTTTCTATCAGAAAGATCATTTCTTTGTAAAGTATTATTGTGATAATAAAGGTTCTTTGTAAAGTATTACATCGTTCCTGATTATCTAGCTACTTTACTTCCCAGTTAGGCTTCTCTTGGGTATTCTCTTAATCTTTTATTTGTACTGGGTTCTTGTGTATGTATTATAGTCTCCTGGGTGTAATTTATTATAGGAAAAAGGCAAGACACATTTACTTGGCAGGGATGACACAAAAAAAATTTGAAAGTCAGTGAAACTCCAATCATCTCAGATTTTCGTTGGAACTAAGAATATTCTTGTACCTTAGAACTAAAATGATTTTTTTTTTTTTTAATTGGAGACAGGGTCTCACTCCCATTGTCCAGGCTGGAGTTCAGTGGCGTAGTCAAGGCTCACTGCAGCCTCAGCCTCCCGGGCTCCAGTGATTCTCCCACCTCAGCCGCCTCAGTAGTTGGTCACTACAGATGCATATCACTGTGCCCGGCTAATTTTTTGTATTTTTAGTGGAGGCCGGGTTTCACCATGTTGCCCAGGCTGAGCTCAAGTAATCTGCCCACCTTGGCCTCCCATAGTGCTGGGATTACAGGCATGACCCACTGTGCCCAGTGGACTTTTACTATTTTTAAAGTAGCGTAGAAAATTGTATGTATCAGGCATTGTCATAATTGCTCTTTGATGCTGCTCCTATCTGGGCTGCATGACTGGATTTGTGTGCCTTGTTCTCCTATAATGAGGACAGAACGTGGGTCACTGGAACAGTAAGTACTTACAGTACTAGCTGCTGCTGCTATTACGATTGGTTGTGTGTTTTGTATTTTTTCCATTTAATCATCAGACTCTAAGGACATTAGTTTCTCTTTGTGTAGGTGAGGAAATGGAATTCAGAGAACTTAGCTGACATTTGCACAGTGTCTAGCTGAGGACTAGAGGAATATAGTTGAAGTGATACTTGCTTTTGTGAACATGAATGTGAACCATAATACATAATGCCCATGACGACATTTTGGGGGAGGTTAAGGTGTCTCACGCCACAAATTAGCAGCTGATTTTCACCTGTAGCTGTAATTTTACTTATTCAGTGTTTCGTGGGGTTTTTTTGGGTTTTTTTGTTTGTTTGTTTTATTTTGTTTTTTTTGAGTTGGAGTTTTGCTCTTGTTGCCCAGGCTGGAGTGTAATGGCGCAATCTTGGCTTACTTCAACCTCCACCTCCTGGGTTTAAGCGATTCGCCTGCCTCAGCCTCCCAAGTAGCTGGGATTACAGGCATGTGCCACCACACCCAGCTAATGTTTGTATCTTTAGTAGAGACGAGGTTTCCCCATGTTGGTCAGGCTGGTCTCGAACTCCTGACCTCAGGTGATTGACCTGCCTTGGCCTCCCGAAGTGTTGGGATTACAGGTGTGAGCCACCTTGCCCGGCAGTTGAGTGTTATTTGAATAAATTGCCAGCATTACGGTTTCAATGAAAGCAGATTTTTGGCTACTGAAACATGATAAAAATCTGGCAACGGGGGTCCGAATTGCCCTGTCACAGTAATTGAAGCTGTGATTGGACATGGCACAGGGAATGGGGTGGTACTTGCTTTCCAGGTTGCAGCTCCCCATCTGTCCCTTACTGGATTTATCGTCGTCAGCCCAGTCAGTCTTGCTGTGTTAGGGGAATTGCCCAGTCCCTGTAGGTGATGGCATTTGTGACCTCTTTGTAGGCAAAAATATTTCCCCCTTTTTAGACATTGCTGGCTGAGCACGGTGGCTCATACTTATAATCCCAGCACTTTGGGAGGCCGAGGTGGGTGGATTGCTTGAGTCCCAGAGTTTAAGACCAGCCTGAGCAACATGGTGAAACCCCTTTTCTACAAAAAATAGATAAAAATTAGCCAGATGTGGTGGCACATGCTACTTGGGTAGGAGCTGAGGTAGGAGGATCACTTGAGCCCGAGGATCACTTGAGGCAGAGGTTGCAGTGAGCTCAGATCATGCCATTGGCACACCGCTGCACTCAATCCTGGATGACAGAGCAGGACCCTGTTTGAAAAAAAAAAAAAAGTAAAAATAGACATTGCTGTGAGTTTAGCACCGAGACTTACCGCTCAGCAAGTGGAAATACTTTTTTGTATTTGGATCACTGATAATCTTGCTGGCATGTGAGAATTCACATTTCCTTATCACCTTACGTGTTTTCAGTTTTTAATTTTATTGGTTCCCGACTTAACATCTTCCCCTCTCTTTTAATTCAGCTGTGAATTAGTATTGAGAATTAGAATTGTTGGTGAAAACTTCGGCCTTAGCTGCAGAAGCACTATCCTCATTCCTGTTCACAGTGAGAACTATTGTCTCCTTCCTGCTGTCTTTCATAGGTTTCTGTTGCCAGTGTTAATCTTATTATTTGGGCTCACTTATTTATTTATTTATTTATTTATTTATTTATTTATTTATTTATTTATTTATTTATTTTGAGACAGAGTTTCGCTCTTGTTACCCAGGCTGGAGTGCAATGGCACGATCTCGGCTCACCGCAACCTCCGCCTCCTGGGTTCAAGCAATTCTCCTGCCTCAGCCTCCTGAGTAGCTGGGATTACAGGCACGCGCCACCATGCCCAGCTAATTTTTTTGTATCTTTAGTAGAGACGGGGTTTCACCATGTTGACCAGGATGGTCTCGATCGCTTGACCTCGTGATCCACCCGCCTCAGCCTCCCAAAGTGCTGGGATTACAGGCTTGAGCCACCGCGCCCGGCTTGGGCTCACTTATTTTACATGACTGTACATTTAAGGGAAGATTTGAAGACTGGGGCTTGAGGGAAATTTGTTGAAGGTGCTGTGTACTGAATTGATCATAATGAATGAAATACTGTTAATTCCTTTCTCTTTGTAGCTGAGATGAGTGAACTGAGTGTGCCACAGAAACCAGAAAAACTTTTGGAGCGCTGCAAGTACTGGCCTGCTTGTAAAAATGGGGATGAGTGTGCCTACCATCACCCCATCTCACCCTGCAAGTGAGTACCACCCCCATCTCACCCTGTAAGTACCATCTTCCCATCTCACCCTGCAAGTGAGTACCACCCCCCATCTCACCCTGCAAGTGAGTACCATCCTCCCATCTCACCCTGCAAGTGAGTACCACCCCCATCTCACCCTGCAAGTACCATCTTCCATCTCACCCTGCAAGTGAGTACCATCCTTCCATCTCACCCTACAAGTACCACCCCCATCTCACCCTGCAAGTACCACCTTCCAGCTCACCCTGTAAGTATCATCCTTCCATCTCACCTTACAAGTGAGTACCATCCCCCATCTCACCCTGCAAGTGAGTACCACCCCCCATCTCACCCTGCAAGTACCATCCTTCCATCTCACCCTATAAGTACCACCCCCCATCTCACCCTGTAAGTACCATCTTCCCATCTCATCCTGCAAGTGAGTACCACCCATCTCACTCTGCAGGTACCATCCTTCCATCTCACCCTGCAAGTGAGTACCACTCCCCATCTCACCCTGTACCATCTTCCCATCTCACCCTGCAAGTACCACCCCCCATCACACCCTGCAAGTACCATCCTTCCATCTCACCCTGCAAGTGAGTACCGTTCCCCCATCTCACCCTGAAAGTGGGTACCATCCCCCATCTCACCCTGCAAGTGAGTACTGTTCCCCCGTCTCACCCTGCAAATGAGTCATAGCCAGCTGATTTTGGCTTTCAGTTTAGTGTCTATATCTTATACCTTGTTTTGTTTTTCTTTTCTGTGGATGAGTTTTGAGTTTTATAACTAAATGCAGTGAGGATTACCATGGCCCTTTCCAGAGCAGTGTATTTCTTGTGTATGTGTGTCTGTTGAGAGGTGAGGGTGGGGGTCTTTCTTTGTGCCTCAGACCTGAGATACAGAAGAATTCTGTACATTTAAGGAGATAGGTGTATGATAACTGTCTCAGTTTGTATGCATTTTGGCCACACACACTATACACAGATTTTGAGGAGTTGAGGGAAAAGTTACTAATGGATAATGAAAATTTTGGACTTGTGTTAAATTTTTCCTTACAAGCTGGCTGGCTTAAGGTAATGAACTTTGTGAGATGTCTTTTAGGGGCTTTATTTTTCGGGAACAGGGGTCCTATGAATGGAATCTCCATTTTTAACTTCTCTTAAGAAACTATTTATGTTGGAATAATACAGCTGTACATATAAGGAGAATATGGGATGAGTCTTTTTGTAGCACAAAGCCTTGCATAGAGGATGTGTTTATTGTATTGAGTTCACTGCATAAAACATAGACCTTACTTATTAAGTGGTATGATTTTTATCACAAAAGCTTCCGTCTTTTCTGGTGGCTTGGCTTGAGTTAAAAGCCTATGTTTGTCACTCATGTTCTCACTCACAAGTGGTTGTTGAACAATGAGAACACATGGACACAGGGAGGGGAATATCACACACTGGGGACTGTTGGGAGGTAGGGAGGCTAGGGGAGGGATAGAAGGGGGTGGAGAGATTGGGAAGGGATAACATTAGGAGAAATACTTAATGTAGGTGACGGGGGGATGGAGGCAGCAAACCACCATGGCAAGTGTATACCTATGTAACAATCCTGCAAGATCTGCACATGTACCCCAGAACTTAAGTAAAATTAAAAAAAAAAAAATTATCTTTAAAAAAAAAGCCTGTATTTGTGTTATCCCAGGCTTTAGAATAAATGACTGTGTCCTATTTTGACAAATTGCTTCATTTTAAAATACTCTTTTTGTTGCTGTTGAATTTCTCAAAACAAGTGATGGGGAGTGTAAAGAGCCTTTATACAAAAAACTAATAATGCATTGAGAAGATTATGAAATACGCTTTTTTGTTTTGTAGAGCCTTCCCCAATTGTAAATTTGCTGAAAAATGTTTGTTTGTCCACCCAAATTGTAAATATGACGCAAAGTGTACGAAACCAGATTGTCCTTTCACTCATGTGAGTAGAAGAATTCCAGTACTGTCTCCAAAACCAGGTGAGTCACTTACTGTTCCAACTGCATTTGGGTAAAAAATGTAAAATGGCATCTTATGACTAAATGGAATTGAACAAACAAAAAGGTGGTTTTAGAAATAATTTTGGCAGGATCAGTTAATCCAATCAGTCTTTAAAGAGCAAGTGTGCCTATCTGTAGTACTCGGAAGTATTTTGACTCGTGAATATATAAACCTTACCATTCTAATTTAAAAATGGTTTTCACTTTCATAAAAAACATCAGTAGACTGCATTAAAAACTGCTTTTCCAGACAGATGGGGTCAGTCCCGGTTTTTATTTTGTTGCAGTCGCATCGCCAGCACCACCTTCCAGTAGTCAGCTCTGCCGCTACTTCCCAGCTTGTAAGAAGATGGAATGTCCCTTCTATCATCCAAAAGTAAGAACTTTTCCCAAAAATCAATTTAATGATAGTATCTCAAATTACTCACCTAACTTCTTTTTGTCAAGAGTTACTAGGTTGGTGCAAAAGTAATTGTGATTTTTGCCAGTAAAATCGATTAAGTTGTCCTTCACTGTCACTGAGTCTCCATCTGGCCCCTTAGGCCAAGAAACTGTTTAATGTTAGTATCCTAAGCACTCAGTAGGAAGAGGCATGTCTTTGCTAGTCACATTTTCCATTCTTCTCTGCATTTAAGCATGTGGGTGTTTTTTTTTTTTTGGTGGGGGCGAGGGGGCGGGTGTTGAACTTAATGCCAGAACTGAGATGATGAAATCCAGTAGGTACTGCTTAAAACCATCCAAACTTGGACTGATGGTTTTGTCTGTGTGCTAAAGATTGATGATGGTTAATGACTCTCCAGATGTTTAGTTGCTCAGAGTGAATTATCTCCTTCCCCTAGTAGCCTGAGGACTACATGAAAGGCCTTCACTTGCCCCATCTGTAACTGGGTGTAGGTGAGGTACAAGAGAAGAGTATAAAGGATAATTACTGCATCCGTTAGTTTATATGGTATGCTAAATTATCTTTGGAAATTTCACTTGCTGATTCTTTGACTAGAATTTTGTGTCTCAGGAGTAAGTTCATTTTTTCAAGGCTTCACTAGTATTAAAATGGTCATTATGGGCCGGGCGCGGTGGCTCAAGCCTGTAATCCCAGCACTTTGGGAGGCCGAGGTGAGTGGATCACAAGGTCGAGAGATCGAGACCAACCTGGTCAACATGGTGAAACCCCGTCTCTATTAAAAATACAAAAAATTAGCTGGGCATGGTGGCGCTGTGCCTAGTAATCCCAGCTACTCAGGAGGCTGAGGCAGGAGAATTGCCTGAATCCAGGAGGCGGAGGTTGCGGTGAGCCAAGATCGCGCCATTGCACTCCAGCCTGGGTAACAAGAGCGAAACTCCCATCTCAAAAAAAAAAAAAAAAAAAAAAAAAAAAAAAAGGTCATTATGGATGGGATCTCGTACTTTGTTAATGGTTAGGTTGAGCTGGTTGTTGTCATCTTAAGTTGTATGTCGGCCAGCTGGGGTGGCTCAGTCCTGTTAGTACTTTGGGAGGTAGAGGCAGAAGTGGAAGGATCATTTGAGCCTGGGAGTTTGAAACAAGCCTAGGCAACATAGTGAAACCCCATCTCTTAAAAAAAATAACCAGGTGTGGTAGCACACACCTGTAGTCCCAGCTACTCAGGAGGCTGAGGTAAGAGGTCACCTCAGCCCAGGGTGGTGGAGGCTACAGTGAGCCATGATCATGCCAATGCACTCCAGCCTGGGTGACAGAGTGAGACCCTGTCTCAAATAATAAAAGTGTGTTTACTGATATTAGCCTTATGGGTGTTGTTGAAGCTCTGTTCTCTCTATTCAGCACTGTAGGTTTAATACTCAGTGTACGAGACCAGACTGTACATTCTACCATCCCACCATTAATGTACCACCACGACATGCCTTGAAATGGATTCGACCTCAAACCAGGTAAACATTAACAATAGTTTTTCTAATGTCATTTCAAATCTTTCTCTAATTTGTAGTTTCTTAATTTATAAGCACACAAAATGGGAAACTAGACTGTTAATTTGAATTTTTTTCTTTGCTCTTTAATTATACAAGGATCTTTTGGCAAAATAATTTACTACATGGGCTAAATTTTATGTTACCCGGTGGTTACTTTTTTAACCTAGAGATTATCTTGCTCTGTTGCCCAGGCTGGAGCACAGTTATGCTATCACAGCTCACTGCAGCTCAAACTCCTGGGTTCAAGCCATCCTCCCGCCTGAGACTCCCAAGTAGCTGGGACTACAAGTGCCTGCCACTACACCCAGCTAACTTTTTTTTTTTAAAGTAGGAATGGGGTCTTGAAATCCTGAGCTCAAGCAATATCCTCCCACCTTGGCTTCCCAAAGTACCAAGATTACAGGCATAAGCCACCATACCCAACCAGATTTTAACTTCTGATTATATACTACTGTAAGAATATACTAAGGCCCGTAAGAGTATATACATGTACATGTACTGTTCATGAATCTCAAATCCATTTTCTTTGACATTAGCAAATGGGAAATATTGAAAAGTCAAGTTTCAAAATATTTTCGTGTGGCCTAAAAATTTAATTACATATGGTATTATCTTTAATTACATATGGATTTATCTTTTAGCTTACATAATTGAATTCTTCTAAAAAATCTGCCATTTATATTCTCATCTTATGACCAAATATTATCTGAAACTACTTTTTAACAGATATATGGTATATGTGGATACAAAACAGAAAATTAAAACAATTTTTGGTTCTGTTCACTCAGCGAATAACAGTCAATCGTACCTGGCAGAAGATCATGCAGTTTGGAAGTTTCCATCTACTGATGAATACTCTACAGAACTTGTCTTGGAAGTTTCCATCTACTGATGAATACTCTACAGAACTTGTCAAATCTTTGAAACTTGGAATATATTGCTTTCATAATATGAAGTTTATTGCCTATCCGAATTGTCTAATTTTTCAAGTTTGTAAGTTTATTAAGTGGTTTTAACATTGGGTGTTTTTGTTTTGTTTTTACTATGCAAAGACAGCTTAAAGAAGAGCTACGTTCTGTTAAAATATTTGGGGCATGTTTGTGTACTGCTGTTGTGAGGATCAGCATATGAAATTGACGTCATGGTTAGTGATGGTGCTGCAGCTTACGGGGTACACGGTTGCTGTGTGAGTGGAGAGATGCCATGAGGCAGGTGTCGTCATTCTGAAAACTGAACTGCTTTTACTTTTCCCAAAGATTATATAATGTTCATAATCCACCATGAAAACAGGATTGGCCAAAGGTATGGAGGTTGCTTAAAATACTCAATTCTGCTTTTTAATTTTTAAGTGAATTGAGTTTGAAAAGCATGGTAATGTCGGCCTCCCAGGCTCAGTGCTACTTTGGTCAAGTTGCCAGTTTCCTTGCCTTTTGTGACAGGATGAACGAGGTGGGGATGGACAGTGAAGGCAGCTGGAATGGCAAGTGCAGAAAGCAGGAACAGTTCTACACATTTACTAATAGCATAATACCTTCTAATAAATTTTTTGGGAAACTACATTATCACAAAATTATACAAATTTTTTTTTACAAGTATTTACATAAGGTATCTGAAAACAGACTTTAAAGTCACAAGATTATAAATGTACATATATATTCTCACATTCTGAAAAATAACATTCTCAGAAATAGCTCCACAGAAAATATACTTAGTTACTACTGAAGATAATTTTTGAAATGTAAAAATTAGATTGAAATAGTATATTTTAAATCACAAAACTATAATTACAGAGATCAGATAGGTAAACTGCAAAATAGGATGAAACTTTTGGCCTACTGTGTTAGAGTTTTGTGTGTGTGTGTGTGTGTGTGGTTTTTAAAACTGTTAAGGCAAGAAGTGTCAAATACTTTAGAATTAAATAACAAACAGATCACTGATTTCAAGGACTTGATGTATAGTAGTGTTAAAAATTAAAGCTTAAATAAGGTGGTTAGAAAAGTAGATTAATGCAAAAGGGATAATAAAGACTGCAACATTCTCAGGACCAAATTAAACTGCTAAAAAGTTCATTGACTTGCTTAGTCATATACCCAAATGATGATAAACCTACATGTGCAAAGGCTCATGTTTTAAGATTGTCAAGCCAGCAGTCTACTGTTGTGCTGCCATTGCTTTTCCATTGGGAGAAGAAAGAATTAACCAGTCATTAAACCATTTGGTAAGCTGCACTTTGCTGTGCTGATCCCACAGGAAAAAGGCTTGAAACACGAGAAGCAGCAAAGACAGAGCACACAGAGCATAAGGCTGTTGTCTTCAGCTTGGGTGAAATGACAGTTCCTTTTCATTCTAAAAGCTTACTCCATTGAATTTAAGGCATTTGTTCATTCCAGCATTACTTGAGATGCTTTGCATCTCTGCAGAAGAAATTTAAATTGTTTAAATTTCTGGAAATACTTTTAGCTATCATTTATAAACGGTAAATAGTTTCATTCTCACTTTCACTATAAAGAGCAAATGGGAAACAAGGGCTTAATTTAGTTCAGCCATTTTACAAGTAAATAAAATACTAAAATCTGATTGGTTTTTGCTATTTAATAGACTCTGCCCAGACACACATTTAAGAGTTTAAGTTTTCAGTTACTATGGCTTAAGAACAAGCTAAGGTTGATTCTAAAGCATTTGTTGGATGACTTAGTCTAAAATGATCACCACAAAAAGGGATCACAAAAAAGGATGGAAACAAGCATGGTTGGCCATGTGAAACCAGAGTGCACAGTGTGCTTTGGCATGCATTTTACACAGAAAATGAACGCAACGAAAGGTGCCAGAAGTCCCAGGTTACACAATCGGGAGCTTAGATACTGCACACAAAAATAATTCTCTGGGTTAAAAAAGTAAACATAGGGCAGATTCTATATGGCCTATCATGTTTCTTCACCTTCCCCTCATTGCTGGCTGATACAGTGTGGTCAGGGAATGACTACTTCGTCAATATGATCTTTAGTTGTGAAACTGACAGCAGCAATGATTGAGACTGACTTATCAGGTTGGCCACTTTGAAGGACAAAAATGCATTGGAAACAGTTTTATTCTATGCAGTTTACATGCGTAAGGTTACAGAGTTTCTACCTGCCCTGTAATGGAAATATAATTTCTCTGTAGCCAAAAGCTGGCAAACTTCAAATTGAAAACTGCGACAGGCTCAAATGTATTTTTGTTATGGATGGGTTGTTCAGGGATTTTTTCCTCCCTTTATTGACTTACTATAAATACATGAGTAGAAACTTAATAATCGTGTATTCCAAAATTTGGCTTAATTTAGGAGAATCTATTGAATGAATACCAACTTACATTTCAAGCTGCTTAGACCCATAATCAGTCCTTCAGCCACAGCAATTTAGAGCTTTAAAACTACGAGGTTCAATCACTGGTTATGCTTTCTGTGATGTAATTTAGTAATTTCTGTTTTTAGTATTAACCAAGTATTAGATACAGAAAATAGATATTAAGAGTCTTCATATATCCTGTCCAACCAAATGGGATTCTAGAAACCTGAAGGGATCTATTATGCTATAAAGACAATTAATTAACACATTAAAATGAAAACTCATAGGACCCATACAGCATCTTAAACTTTACACTTAGAAAAATATATTTTTAAATAGCACTCTACATAATTTTCAGTCTTCAGGAAACTACAGATAGGCTAGACAGCGAATTCCTGAATGGTGAGTACTGATCTTTGGCAGCATTTAAAGTGAAAAGAAAAAAGGATCTAAGAATTCAGCCCTAGTCCACTAAAAAAGGAATTCTAATGGACAAGTTTTACAAATAGAGTTGGGTTCATTCATTTTGGAAATAAGCCTATGGAGTGGCACACATCTAGCTGAACACATTTTCTCAATAGAAAAAAAGCTAAAAAATTTTATTCCAAGAGTGATTAAATTGTATAGTGTTGTATATGTGAATTTAACACTTTTGTTTACATGTTAAACAAATGTCTATTATATTAGACCACATTATTAAATATGCAACACTCTCTTCCAGTTAAATACTGTTGCTCTCGAAAAACCTTTAAACTGTACACCATTGGGAATTGTTTATCTCATACCACTTTTGCATTAGTGAGGCTACAATTCGGTTTTAATTTTTCAGTTAGAGAAATGGTGTCTGAACATAAACTGATGTCTCAAAAATGAAAATGAAGCAGCCATATATGACTTAACTTTGGATCTGTTCCTGAATTCAAAACTACTAGGAGAAAAATGTCCTTTATTTAAAAAAAAAAAAAAAAGGACTTTATTAATGCTTAAAAAACATCCTATTCTACAGGAACGCTTTTGTCCGTTTCCTTAGGGAAAATGTTTGCCTTTTAAAAACTGTGGTTCTTTAGGGTGATCATGACTTTCCCTTTCCTTATGGAAATGCAAGAATAAAATCCTTCATTAAACAATGAACCTTGAAAATAAAATATAAACACTAAGAAACCATTTTACTAAAAAGATGATGAATCCAAATTGGGTTTTTGAGTTTTTCTGTAAAGGGTGAAGTATCCCAAATTTTCCCAGCAGGTCTGCCAAAATTGCACACTTCCCAGTACACCACGGGGACTTGGCTTTTACCATCACGTATTCAGTCCGTCCTTGAAATGGCATAATCTGGCAGTGTATGGATCACGGATTATACCCAGTGCGTAACAGCATTAGAATAGATCAGTCTTTCACTATTTTGATGGGTCTGGGCATTTCTCCCTGTTCCAGTCTCGGGTTAGCACCACTTGACCATGCAGGGTTTGGTTTTGGTTTTTCTTCTCCCCTGTGATTCTGGTCTCAAGGTTAATGTGTGTCGTCATCTCAGCATCTCTCAGTGAGGCATAGGTACGCATTTCCAGACAAATAAGCTGCAATTAGAGAAGACAATTGCAGGAAGTTCAATTTTTAGATTTTCATAACATTTTAATATTTTTCAGTTGAACTTTCAATTACACGTATGTAACGTTTTTCCTCATTAACTCCTTTTCTTCTATATTTGCGTAAGTTGAGATTCTTAAGAACCATTTGGTTATACTACCTTCTGCTAATGTTGACTAGCTGATTTCATAAATCAAAAGCTGTAGGAGTTAGTATATTAAATCTCTGAACTAGTAACAGATAATCTGCTCTTCTTCATGGGCTGAGAAAATTACTAACCTGCAGTCATCCCCTCCAGCACTAACAACATGTCGATCACCACTTGTAAATCGAATATTTGTCACGTGGGGCGAATGACCCAAGAACCTTTTGTGTTTTGCCTAAAAAGCAATGACAGACAAAGCTCAGGTCATTTGGTGCACACAGAAGTCAAAGGCTCTTATTGGGAACTGTAATCTCTATCACCAGAGCTGTGGAGAGAGTAGGGAGTTAGCACCACAGCCAGTGATTAGAATGCTTTTTCAGAGTGAGTGATGGATCTGCACTTAACACAAACCAGGCTGTTTGGGCAGTCAGATGTCTCCAAGTACACTGACAATTTTTCCCTAAGGAAAAGCATTTGAAATTTGATAATTGAGTATAGGTTTGGTGAAAAGCTAATTACAACTTTTGTAGGATAGTTTCCAAAGATGGTATTACTCGAGGGAAAGGATTTGTTTCTAACAACTTTTTTTTTTTTTTGAGACAGAGTCTCTGTCACCAGGCTCAAGTGCAGTGGTGCGATCTCAGCTCATTGCAACCTCTGCCTCCCGAGTTCAAGCAATTCTGCTGCCTCAGCCTCCCGAGTAGCTGGGACTACAGGCATGTGCCACGACGCCCAGATAATTTTTGTATTTTTAATAGAGACAGGGTTTCACTATGTTGGCCAGGACAGTCTCGATCTCTTGACCTTGTGATCCATCTGCCTCGGCCTCCCAAAGTGCTGGGATGACAGGCATGAGCCATCAGGCCTGGCTCTAATAGCTTTTATTTCAGAGTAAATAGATTTAGAAAGTTTGGGGAAAATTCAGAAATACAAATTGGAAAGTATTTTCAAATTAGGACAAAACATTTATAATATATGGGAAAAAGTGCTGATGATCAGACATCAAAATTAGGAGCAAACTGATAATACTAAACACGCATACTTACAAATTTTTCTGGACATGGGAAGTCAAATAACTTAACCATGCCAAAGTCATCTCCTGTTACAAGACTGATTCCTGAATGGGATACACAGGCACAGTTGACATCAGCTTTCTCAGCATGTCTGGACCAGATTCCCAAAACCTCATCTCCTAGAATACTAGAGGGAAGGAACAAAAGAAAACTCACCATAGCAAGTGTGGGCAGGTTGACCATATTCAAAAAGTTGATTGGCAATTTTAAGTACCCTAATGTATTACTTAAAATACAGGAAGTAAATTATGGTAAGACTAGTTGTTTGGATACCTGAATTTCATCAGTATATTATCTCCTTTTAAAAATGAAGTTTTATAATTTGAAGGGTTTCTAGATTACTCATTGTATGATTAAAGTAGTACTTTATGAAAACTGATAGAACTATTTTTCTTATTTTATTTTGAGACAGAGTTTTGCTCTTGTTGCCCAGGCTGAAGTGCAATGACATGATCTCAGCTCACCACAACCTCCGCCTCCCAGGTTCAGGCGATTCTCCTACCTCTGCCTTCTGAGTAACTGGGATTACAGGCGTGTGCCACCACGAACCCAGCTAATTTTCTATTTTTAGTAGAGATGGGGTTTCTCCATTTTGGTCAGGCTGGTCTTGAACCCCCGACCTCAGATGATCCTCCCATCTTGGCCTCCCAAAGCGCTGGGATTACAGGTGTGAGCCACTGCGCCGGGCCAGAAACTGATAGAAATATTTGTCAAATTAAAAGTGATACTTGCCTGGGTTCTGCAGCTCATACCTGTAATCCCAACATTTTGGGAGGCTGAGGCAGGAGAACTGTTTGAGGCCAAGAGGTGAGACCAGCCCGGGCAACACTGTGAGACCCCCATCTCTACAAAAATGAAAATTTGTATTATATAGGAAATTTTTTTTTTTAAAAAAAGACGGAGTTTCGCTCTTGTTACCCAGGCTGGAGTGCAATGGCGCAATCTTGCTCACCGCAGCCTCCACCTCCTGGGTTCAGGCAATTCTCCTGCCTCGGCTTCCTGAGTAGCTGGGATTACAGGCACGTGCCACCATGCCCAGCTACTTTTTTGTATTTTTAGTATAGACGGGGTTTCACCATGTTGACCAGGATGGTCTCGATCTCTTGACCTCGTGATCCACCCGCCTTGGCCTCCCAAAGTGCTAGGATTACAGGCTGGAGCCACTGTGCCAGGCTGGAAATTTTTTTTAAAAAGATTTTTTTCAGAGATGGGGTCTCACTATGTTGCTCAGGCTGGTCTCAGACTAGGCTCAAGCAATCCTGTCTCAGCCTTCTGCATCAAGAGATTACAGGCATGAGCCACCATATACCTGGCTGATACAAAAATTTGGTGGCATTTTTCGTTGGCCAAAAAGTCGATAGTCATGGTTACCTGTCATACAGCCAGAAAATTGGGACAGGTTTATAAACTTTGACTTCTAAAAGATTCAAGATAGCATTCCCATAGAGAACTCACAGGTGCTTAACAGCACCCCATACCTTTTTGCCAGTCATTAAATTTAACGTTAAGAAAAATACCAGAGTATCTTTAAAATTAAAACTTTGGTTTCATTTCCTTTAAAAAAAAAAACTAGATAAATCACGGGAACTGATAAAACATGGAAATATATTCCATACAAAAGGTCTCAACGTGAACATACTGTTATTCTCTTGCTAAGAAAAGTTGAAGATAACGTAACAGAAACTTGAAACTCAATTACTATTCCTTAGTGGAGTGGCTCTAACAGTTCAGAAATAGGATTTTCCAATTTTTCTAACTGGCCTTCAAAGTCAGTTCTTGCCTTGTGAATATATGAAGTATTTACCTAGTCCATGTAGCCCAAGTAATTCTGTCAATAGCGGCATGATCCATAAGATGTTTTCCTGAAGGCACTTCATAGACATGCCGTTTATAGCAGCCACTAGAGACCTTTCATCATTAAAATGGGACAAGAATTGCATTAGGTGAGAGACAAAATCCACAGGAGGTTTACAGAATGCTAGCATATTGCTACTTGATTTACATGTTTAGCATTATTAAGTATGCAAAAGATCACTACAAAAATTTAGAGGATAAAAGCACTGACAAGTGGGGGAGGAAAGAGGAGCTGTTGGCTGGAAGATACGAAGGCAAGAGTTGAGAAGGGCTGGGGAACTTTAAATGCATTCACTAACACGAAATGTAAAAGCAGAAGAACTTGCCATCTGGGTATATAGTATTGGTACTGTACCTGGAGATATCTGCTATCTGCAGAAAAGTCCATTTGAATGACAAAGCTTGGAATGTCTTTGCAGTAGCTGATTCTGTTAAGGGTGGGGCCCAATGTCAGGTCATAAAAATCCACTGAATTCTCACTAGAACCCACTGCCAGATACCGGGAATCTGGACTAAATCTGAATACAAAACAAAATATGTAAAAGGTGTTGGACCACATTAAGTATTACAAACATTTAAGATCAGTGACTTTTCCTTTCTCTCTTAAAAGTAACGTGTGGCCGGGCACGGTGGCTCAAGCCTGTAATCCCAGCACTTTGGGAGGCCGAGGCAGGTGGATCACAAGGTCAAGAGATCGAGACCATCCTGGTCAACATGGAGAAACCCCATCTCTACTAAAACTACAAAAATTTAGCTGGGCATGGTGGTGCGTGCCTGTAATCCCAGCTACTCAGGAGGCTGAGGCAGAATTGCCTGAACCCAGGAGGCGGAGGTTGCAGTGAGCCGAGATCGCGCCATTGCACTCCACCCTGGGTAACGAGTGAAACTCCGTCTCAAAAAAAAAAAAAAAAAAGTAACGTGTGATACAGCCTCAAATAGATCCTGACAGAGGCAACTG